TGTCAAGGCTTCTAATTTGACTAAGAAGATATTGAATATGGGTGTAAGAGATTTGAAGTTTACTAGGAGTTATAATATGTTGTAGAGATATATCAAGCAGTTTGAGTATTAGATCAGATGAGGGGCAAAATACCCAATGAAGTGCATCAGTAGGTTGTTGGTATATATAGCAGGAGTTGGGATAAGAAGGATATCTTTTGTGAAGGATGTGTGGAGATGGAAGGTCATCAAGTAATAATTTAACACTGAATGTTTTAAGTGTTGATGATTGGAAGCTATGTGCAAAGTTTGAAACTTTTTGATTGTTGTTAAGATATACCCAAGTGGCATTCCAATGAATGTTCTGTGAGAGAGAGGACCATTGTTAAAAGCAATGTTGGGAGGACTATTGTGCAAAAATATTTGCATTGCAGATAGTTCAGATGCTGTGATGAACTGGGAGTTCAAGAGGAGAGCTATTATATAGAGGAACAAATTGGGCATTGTATATATTGCCAGAGTTAAGAATAAGAATTAGAGCATTGTGATAGTTGCGAGCTAATTTATTAGCTTTGTTATTAAGTTCATTGTCTTGATGTGCAGGCACTTTATAAAAGGTGATTGAGAGATTAAGTGAGGAGCAGAAGTTTAAAAGTGTGTTTCAGGTAGACCAGTAGGAGGTGTTTGAAAAGTTTGCTACTGGAGTAGGGTTTAAGAGACTGTTATATTTCAAAATTACTGATTGAGAGTTAGTATAAATATGGATTATAGAGTTTTGGGGGGACTGTACTAATGGCTGATAGAATTGCAAGAAGTTCAGCCTTAAAGAAGCAAGGCCAAAGTTCAATTTGGGCTTGAAAAGTATGTTGGATTGTGTGGTTGTTAGTTTGTAGCCAACCAATACCCATAGAGCATTGAGGGTTGTCTATATTTGTGACAGAACCATTGGTATAAAAAGTGAAGTTATGAGAATTACTGTTTTGAGTAGCAATATGCTGTAATAAGTCAAGAGCATGACTAGGTTGAAAAATTAGTGAGCTTTGGATAGTTGAGATATTAAGATTTGGCAGGAGTGAGGAGGAACTAGGGTTTGAAAGTATAATTGAGTATAAGAGGTTAAGATAATTTGCATGGAAGTTGAGTGTTTTGTTAGGATTTGGTCTACCAAAAAATTTAATAGACTGACTAGTAGGGATAAGAATTGTGCACTTGTTGGCAATGATTTTAGAGTTTAGAGGACAGTCTGAGCATGAGGTTGTGGTTATGGGGCCAGGGAATAGGGTAGAAGTAAAGTGATATTACATTGCTAGTTATATATTAAAGTATAACCAGAATTGTTAGATTGACGATGAGCTTTGCCAATAATAATTTGGTTATTAAAAAGAGTGATGAGCCATGGCTTGGAGTGTTTATAAATGGAATAGAGATTATTGTATTTGCCAATACATAAGGACCAACATTTTAATGTTTTGGGTCCGTGTAGCTATGTACGTTTGCTTAGCTATATTAATGGGTACTACTTGGTGGCAAGTTGGTTTTAATCAAGAAAATATTTATGATCGTTTCTCTGCACATTTCTTTTCCGTTGCTTTTCTCGCTTTTATGAGTGTTGCCGGTATACCTGGTTTCTTGGAAGAACGATTAGTATTTACACGTGAACGTGGAAATAATTTTTATTCTGTTGGTCCTTATGTATTGGCAAATACAATAATCTCTATTCCATTTGTAATGATAATTGCTGCTTCATTTACTGTTGTAGCTTACCCAATGATTGGTTTACATAACAATTTTAGTAATGCTCTTCTCTTTTGTTTCTATCTTTTCCTTGCTCTTATTGTGGCTGAATCAATGGTCGTTTTTATTTCGGCTATTATTCCTATTTTCGTTGCCGCACTTACACTAGTTGCTTTCGCTAATGGATTCTTCATGGTTGTAGAAGGTTACTTTGTACGACGTAGTAAAATTCCAAAAGCATGGAAATGGGCTCATTACATTGACTATCAAAAATGGGCTTTTGAAGGGATTATTCAAAATGATTTTATTGGTTTGACGTTTAATTGTGATCAAAACCCTTATGATCCCGTAAAATATTTTTGTATGTATGGTGATAAATCAGGTAACAGTTCAACTTTTACTGGTAAAGATATCTTGGATGACTTTGGTTATACTGAAATCAACCTTCAAAAGTGGGCGGTAAGAATTTTTTTAAAAAATTTTTATACGACAATCCTTGATCTTTAAAATCAATTTCAGTAATCTAACTCAATTTTATTTCAATTAGTTGGCACTTGTCGGTTTAACGCTTGCTTTTCGATTTGGTTTTTATCTTGTATTACGTCTCAAGAAAAATCATCAATAATTTTTTCTTTTTTTGGGTTATCTTTATATAGTTTTTTTTTTCTAAAATAATTAATTAATGCCAAAATAGATGAAATTTCGTCATTAATTTCACATTTTAATGCAATTTACTTTATTCCTTTGTTTGTTAGT